TAGAGACTAACAAATGCTCTAATAAATTTGTTAGTCTCTAAGGTGCCACAAGTCCTCCTGTTCTTCTTTTTGCGGATACAGACTAACACGGCTGCTACTCTGAAACCTTTACTAGGAATCTCTCTCAGTTGGACTTGCAGAGTAGAGCTCATAGTATGAAGCAGAAGTCCAGTAGCTCAGTTTAGGAAGCAGTGAGGCTGCGTGGCCTATGCCAAAGGAAGAATGAGGCAGACCCCTTGGGGTTCCTCCAAGAGACTTTTCAAAAGCTGCAGTGTAGCATAGTTCCTGGGGATCCATGATGGTAACTGATAGCATAACTAAGGTCTCAAATAGAGTAATAAGTGAAGTACTTCATGCTTAGGGTGACCATATTTCCCTGTGCTGAATACGGGACACCTGGTAAAATTACTCATGTTCAAGTGAGTTCAATGGCAATCAATCAGAACTATGCAGTACAAACGTTCAAATTAACATCAAGTTGACTGAGCCCATGTTAAAAAGAAATACTGTGTAGCTGGATTCTTTTTATTTATCTTCTTATCTTTAAGGCTCATACGGGGAGAGCTGACACACACACTCTCCCGTACACCTCTCACATGGTGGGGAGGAGAGGGCAAGCGTGACCGACTGTCAGATCCAACCTTCCCTGCCTGGTGCTCTACAGGATGGCTGGGTCCCTGGGATGGACCTGCATCTCCTGTTACCTGGTGTTGCGTCTTCCCGAGGCAACATGTGGAGGGGTATGCAGGGTCACATGCTCCCCTCCCCAGATTTCTGCCAGGGTTTACACCAGGATGTGTGCAGCAGCAGCCTTTCAGCACTGTGTGTGTGGGAGAGAAGGGACAGGAGCTGCTTCCAGCCGCAGGGGAGGGCGGGGGAAGGGATGACTGGCCCATGTCTTTGCAGAGCTCATCTCTTCCTCCCTCCCTGCTCCCCTGTGGCTGGAAGCAGCTTGTCCCTTCCTGCCCATACGGTGTCAAAAGGCAGCTAACGCCTTCAGGCTGCTGCTGGCCACCGACATAACACAGCTGCCTCCTGTCTCCCAGCTACAGCGCAGGCAGGAAGGGGTTAAGCCCTAAGGATGCATTGTGCACCAGGGCCAAGGGAACCTGACTGCAGGGGCTTCAGCGAACCCAGCCAGAAAGGTGGCTCAGCAGGAGGGGGTGCCTAGGGGACAAAGCAGCCTCACACTCCCTGGGGGAAGGACCCGGGGGGGGGGGGGGAGGGGGCG